TATGGTCTTTGTCACATTTGATTTGCATTTTAACTGTTGCACTTTACAATACTTGCGTGTGTGTCCAGACTGCAGTTCCATGTATTCCTGCAGGAGTGTTCAGCTGCCCTCTAGTGGTCACTATGCGTCCTGTTCCTGCTGACATGCTGGATGCAGCAGTAGATGTTACTCGCCTCAACCTGCTTGCACATGGACCTCCTGTACACATAGGAGACCCAGGTACACACACACACACTTTACTCCTCCTCAGCCGCTGACACACTCATCCATGCCTTCATCACCTCTCGACTGGACTACTGCAACAGCATCCTGTACGGCTCATCCACCAAAATCGTCAACAAACCACAATACATCCAGAACTGAGCTGCCCGTCTGCTCTCCCACTCCATCAGAGATCACATCACCCCAGTCCTTCAGAACCTCCACTGGCTCCCCATACAGCAAAGAATCCAGTTCAAGATTCTTCACATCACATTCAAAGCCCTTCATAACCTCGCCCTTCATACCTTTCTGACCTCCTGCATCAACACGCTCCCAACTGCAACCTCAGATCCGCCGACGCCAACCTCCTTACCCCCCCTACTCTGTCCAAGCATCAGACCTGGGGGGACAGGGCCTTCTCCATCGCTGTCCCCTCCCTCTGGAACTCCCTCCCCCAGTACCTCAGACAATCTCCGTCACTTGCACTTTCAAAACTGCACTTAAAACTCATCTATTTAAATCTGCTCTTAACCTGTAAAGTCACTTATGTATGTTTCTCTTTTGTTTATCACAGATATAATGTCATCTCTCTGCCTTGTTTACATTGTTATTGCCTTATTCTTTCTGTCTTTACCATGTAAAGTGTCTTTGAGTACTTTTTAAAGTGCTATACAAATATTATGTATTATTACTATTTACACAGGATAATAACCTTCATTTGCCAGAACATAACTTGGCTTTATTTGTGTGTGGAGCTCTCCTCGGAATACAGGACCTGTCCAGACCACACTATGGGGAGCAAGTACAGCTGCAGCCTGGCGATGTCCCAGTGTTCTGGGCCTGTGGAGTGACCGCTATAGAAGCAATAATCAGCAGCAGTGAGCAATATGATGGATTCACTCCGTACCTTTTTCATAATTTCTTCAACAAATGTATTAAGACCTAATTTTCTGTCTCTATCCAGAGCCTTCTTTGGCATTCAGTCACTCACCAGGCTGTATGTTCCTGACTGACATCCCAGACTCGTCCCCTTCTTCTCCCACACCTCCACCCTCTGAGGGCTCAGCAGGCTCGCCCTCCACGGATCACAATCTTGAACTGATTCCCTTCTGCTTTCTGGTATCCCACAATCCCTTGCTGTACAGTTTGGCATCTCAGAGGGCCGTGGCAAAGATCAGACAGCTGGAGACGATTATTGGAGAGGACCCAGGTAAACACGTGCAAAGACACATCACAGCTATTTGCATGGGTTGCAGGACAATGACGTAGCTACTCTGGTGACTAATGGAGGTCCATTAATTCTCCCCCAAAACAATATGCGGTGCAGTAGAGGCTGGTATACATTAGGACGTTCAGTCCTGCAGTCATGAAGGTCTTCACTATTTCGGCATCTGTCCACGGACTGTTGAAATCCAATTGGGGTGGCTAGAGCGTCCGGAATTAGACGCCTCTGTCTAAAAACATCTTGGAATCACATTTCAAACCACCTCCATATGTGGTTTGGATCTGATTTGCAAAAATCACATTTCATGTGTTTTTTTTTCTTTCCAATCTGGGTATGTCCAAAAACAATTTGGGCTGGCAGTCTGAACAAGGCCTCAGTCTTGTAACAATAATTACACTCAAAAGTTAAGGTGTGATTGACTACCACTCTTGAAACTTTGCCCAGAAAGCCACTCGTCTCTCTCTCACCATCTGTACTTCTGTTAGTCCCTATGCAAGAGATTCAGTGTTGCTCATAACATATGAACACAATGCACACGGCTCCATCTAGCCATTGTGTTTAGTGTGGCACTGCAGGGAAAATCTCATCATGAGCAGCTAATCCATTAAAGCTCCTTTGTGTGTTTTCAATGCTAAAATACATGAAAAGAATAAACCAACATTAATTGAATTTATCGGATGAAAAAGACGGATATGAAGGGGTGATGGACTATTTGGCAACATTCCTAAAATATCCAATTCAATAGCCAAACAAGTATGCGTTGTGTTAATATTCATACTGCAGTTGGCATATGCCAATGATGACGTGACATAGATAGATCTTTCTCTGGCTCTCTATAGAGCTGCCGTGTTTGCCAAACAGTCTCCTCCCCTTAGCTTGTAGCATAATGAAATTCATAAGCAGAAGGGTGGTCTTTACAACAAGATTCAGAACAAAACACCAGTCTTTGTATTTCAAACCAAACTAGTAAATTAAGAACCCAGATAATCTGGATCGAATGTGAAAAATAACAGACATGAACTGATAATGTTTGATGGTGTCCAGCTATTTCTCACCTTATACTTGGTAGATAACTCTGACAGCCTCTGTTAGCAGTGGGGATGATGGAGAGGTCAGTGGCTGTCTCAGTACCAGGTTTGCTGGATGTGATGATGCAAGTTTGTTCCTTTTCTCTCAACCAGGTCAACGAGGAATCGGAGCTTTATTTGTTCAGGATGAACTTCTGCGCTCCTGTCTGGCACTCTCCCACGCATTCTCTGTTGCCATAACTACTGGCTTTCCAACACACTACATGCACAGGTAGGTACCTGCACACGTACATATGCACTTGACACACAGGTATATTTATTAGTGCTGGGCAAGTTAACGCGTTAATTTCGCGTTAGCGCGTTCATTAATTAACGCCGACAATTATTTTATCGCGCATTAACGCATTTTTTAAATTTATTATAATTTTGTTTTTATTTTTTATTTTTAATTTTATTTTTAATTGAAAGACAAGAGACAATACATATACATAACAACAAGAGGATGACAACAACAGTGGGATAAAAGCCAGCAAACATCCTATAGTCAGTTGTGTGTGTGTGTGTGTGTGTGTGTGTGTGTGTGTGTGTGTGTGTGTGTGTGTGTGTGTGTGTGTACACGTGTGTGAACGTGTGTATGTATGTCCTTGAGCCTTTTGAGATGGGAAAAAATAATAAAAATAATAATTTAAAAACAACAACAAAAAACAGGTAAGTATTTTTACCAGAACAGACTGTCTCATGTTTATCGTTTTGTATTGGAGATATGATGTCCCTTCAGGGTTGCCGTAGAGAAAAGGCGACTTCCGCTTCTGGTCGAGGGGGGGGGCAGAAATAAAGAGAGAAGCTGCACCAGCTGTTGCTCTCCCTGGAGACTACTGGACATCGCTGCGGTAAAGTCAGCAGACACTTACATGTTAGTGCACCTATATGCTAAAATTCACGGTAAACTCATTCAAACGGCACAGATCGGGAGCGAGCGAAGGACTTTGAAAGTTAGCGGAAAGATTAACGTGAGACAACATCCGGTTTCTTCAGATGAACATCCGGTTTTCAGAATAAGATGCCAACAAAGTATGAATTATATTCACATTAAGTATAAAACATGCTACCTGCATCTCGTGAACCAAATGGTATTGCCCTTTTGTTCATATAGCAGTACTTTTAAAATAAAAGTGCGCAATACACTACTTTTGAATTCATTATTGAACTTTGCGATAACAATGCGATTAATCGCGATTAATCGCAAAAAATCCATGCGATTAATCGCGATTAAATATTTTAATCTCCTTTTTAAAGCATTCTTTCAACACATTATCCGAGTCCCCGTTTATTTGAATTGCTTGCATCCTGATGCATAGTTAATTGTTCAGAATGTAACTTGTGCCACGGTTCTGTTTGGTATCACGCCCATGGAGAATAACTCCACAGGTGAATGCTGGCTGATGAGAGAGCAACAGGCAATTAGCAGTGAGTCCGACATGTCTTGACAGCTCAAACTGCCCCAACCAGAGGTGGAAACAAGCTTGAGTGGCAGACTTTTACATAAAAATTAACGTCCGTCCGTTACGTTCAAGCCCTTGCCAAACGGGTTGACGCATTGCTAGTTAAGCCTATCGCTGCCAAGGAGAGCTCTCTGTATTTCACAGTGGTGTCCGTAGTGACTTTCCCGCACTAACAGGGGGATCAGAGGATCGGCCTCAGGAGTGCTCTCTTCAAGTCTTCCCATGCAATTTTAACGCAGAGTTTCTTTTTTATCTGGAGCATCCACTCCAGATAGCTGCTTCTCTGTCGCTATGGTTTCTCCAATATGGTTTCTCCCATTACATTACTCACTGCCAGAAGGGGGAGACAAATGTTCTGCTCTCCAGCTTTAAAGTCTCAATTGCAAAGATCTCCGTTTGTTCTCATTAGCTACACCCATGGCGGTAAGTGGTAATTGCAGGGATGTTTTTTGATCAACCTTCCCAGAGAGCCGCTTGTGATTTTTGCCCGGATTGTCGCCACAGACACCCAGTTTGTAAAGCTGCAAAAGCAAAAGGCTTTATGCCCAATCTCCATTGTGTTACCTCAATCGGTGACAGATAGTGACTGAACAGATATTTATTTAAATGAAAATCTTTCCCCTTCCCCTTTAGTCCCCCTGACGAGACTGACGGCCCCCCTGGAGCCATTGCCATGGCGACCATGCTGCTGTCGCTAGGGAAGCGGGTGACAATGGTGACGGACAGGAGAGCCTTGGAGATGAACCGGGCCATCATTGATGAAGCTGTGAGGACAGGTGGGGAAGAGATGGACCTCAACCCGCCGCCGGAATCTGTTAACGCCACTGAAATGTCATTCATCATTGCTCTTGAATTGAAATGGTTTTGTCTTGGTTTAATAGTCTGTGATACCACCCTTAGGTGTGCTGAAAACTGCAATCCCATTGGTCACATTTGAAGACAGCGGCCCAGACTCTGCACTACACTTCCTGTGTCACCATGGAGACCCCAGCAAGCCCAGGTGAGCTGACCTGTCATATGTGTTTGCAGTAAGGACGAGGACACAATAAAATACCCTTTATTGTGAAAGAAAGAAAGAAAGTAAACCTTTACTTGTATGTGAAAATTCAATCTTTTCACTGTGTTGTTATTTATACACATTACACATAAAGGCACAAATATATGGGACCTATACACGTGCAGGAGGGATGGCAGAGTGGGGGGAGGGGGGGCCATCAACAGATGCCCCGAGCAGTTGGGGTGTGGGTGCTTACTGGCATCCGCTGCCAGTCCACTCTCCATACTTGGTCCGTACAGGGACTTGAATCGGCGACCCTCCGGTTCCCAAGCCAAGTCCCCACTGACTTGCGTTACTACCAACCCAAAAACTACTTCACATCAGGACTGATTCTCTAGAGCAGTCTGGGTTGGTTCGATTAGTGTCCTTGGTATAGATAGTTGTTAGTGATCACACTGCCATCTGGTGTAGTCGGCATTATTTAAAACATTGAGTCTTTCAGCTTTAAGAGTGTAAATGCAATGTGCTTGTCATGTTTAATACCAGGTACGACCACCTTGTGGCGATAGAGCGCACTGGACGTGCTGAAGATGGAAATTACTACAACATGAGAGGAGTAAACATCAAACATCTGGTGGATCCCATTGATAACTTGTTTATTGCTGCCAAGGATATACCAGGAATAATCACTACAGGTAGGTAACACGTATTATTGTTAGTCGTCTTCATAATGCATACCTTCTTATTACTCTAATTTCGGGATTTAAACTGCAATTAATTATGGAACAATCATGTTGATGATTTCATAGCCTTTCAAAGAAAAAAACAGACTGCGTGTTTTTCCACTGTTAAAGCTCAATTTACATATTTTACTAGCACAGAAAAGCCAGAATTATGGCCCAACATATGTGTGAATTATTCTCACATCTATTGTCACATATTAGTATTAAATATGAACATAAAAATATCTCATAATACTGTTTAATTTGTTAAAATTATTATTATTAAAACCAAAAACCCACTTACTCCTGGTTAAATTATAAAGTCCATCATATTCTTTGAGTGAGCAACGAGTTGTTACTTAAATCACCTCTATGGAAAATCCAACTCATACCAATGATCTTTGGTAATAAACGTTTTAAACTTTGGCACGATAGAGGGATAAGGTAAAGTTATGGCATCTTTTTCATGTCATTTGAACAGCTAACAGAGAAACATGATAAATTCAACAAACAGCTCTTTTGTTATTTGCTCTATGTGACATGCTGAGTAAAGTTATTGATGCACCTATCCAATTAGATTAGGAGCTCTGTCTCCTAGGAGATGTAACAAACATGAAACTAAGTCAAAGTTCCAGGAAATGTGTTGATATAAATCTCTTGCTGTTTCCAGAAAGTGTATTGCATTAACTTAGCCGTCAGACTCAGTTAAGCTCTCACACAGTTGGTATATTCTTCTAGAAATGATTATGATTATTTCTGCTGTGATACCTGGAGCTCTTTCACCAGAGATAAGCTCGTAAACATCAGGGGAACAACTCCAGCGGACTTACTTCCAACTTTTCTGTTAACTTCTGTGGAATTACTGGACATTCTCGTCAAAGGTGCTCTTACCTTAACTCATGCAGTGAAACGCCGTAGGAGAGGGAAACGGGGCGGCACGCTTGTGCGTCTCCGCTCACGTGGATTTCGCACACCACTGCCGGGGATATTTCTCTCCAACATCCGCTCACTGTGCAACAAACTGGACGCTCTTCAGCTACTGGTGGGGAGAGACAGAGACTTTTCTTCATCCTCCGTTTTGTGCTTCACTGAGACCTGGCTCTGTGGATCGATACCGGACTCTGCGCTCCAGCTGGCTGGCTTCCAGCTGTTCAGAGCGGACCGCGACACAGAGCTCTCCGGCAAATCGAAGGGTGGAGGAATCTGTTTCTACTCCAACAGTGGCTGGTGCAACGATGTGACAGCCACTGTTCTCCTGATCTGGAATCCTTCATTATAAACTGCAAACCCTTTTACTCCCCCCGTGAGTTCGCTTCATTCATTCTGGTCGGTGTGTACATGCCGCTGCAGGGTAACGTGCAGGAAGCACAGCGGACACTCGCCGAACAGATACTGTGTGTGGAGCGGACCAACCCGGACTCTTTAGTTATTGTCCTTGGTGACTTTAACAAAGGAAACCTCACCCATGAACTCCCTAAATACAGACAGTTCATTAAATGCCCTACCAGAGAGGAGAACATTCTAGATCACTGCTACACAACAATCAGCAGGTCCCTCGTGCTGCACTGGGATACTCTGACCATGTCATGGTCCATCTGATTCCTGCTTACAGGCAGAAATTAAAGCTCTGTAAACCTGTGGTGAGGAAATTCAAGAAGTGGACCAGTGAAGCTATGGAGGATCTTCGGCGTGCTTGGACTGTACAGACTGGGATGTATTCAGGACTGCTACCAACAGTCTGGATGAGTACACAGAGGCTGTGACTTCATATATCAGCTTCTGTGAGGACAGCTGTGTTCCATCAAGCACCAGGGTGAGTTACAACAACAACAAACCCTGGTTTACAGCTGAAGGATCAGGCATTTAGGAGTGGGGATAAGGACTTATCAAAGAGGCAAAATACAGGTTTAGTAAGGCGGTGAGAGATGCTAAACGACTGTACTCTGAGAAACTGCAACACCAGCTCTCAGCAAATGACTCTTCTTCTGTCTGGAGAGGCCTCAGACAGATCACCAATTACAAGCCTAAAAACCCCCCATTCATGAATGACCTCCGCCTGGCAGACGAGCTGAACGAGTTCTACTGCAGATTCGAAAGACAATGGGACAGTCCTGACTCCATCCCCCAGACCACCAGCCCCCCTCCCCCAGCCCAGCAGGGGCCCATGCCTCTGTATCACCAATCCCAGCCCCCCCTCCCCAGTGACGACTCTCTCTATTCTGGAGAGGGATGTAAATGGACTTTTTAAAAAACAGAACCCCCGCAAAGCAGCTGGCCCGGACTCTGTCTCCCCCTCCACCATGAAGCATTGTGCTGATCAGCTGTCTCCGGTGTTCACAGACATCTTTAACACCTCCCTGGAGACATGCCACGTACCAGCCTGCTTCAAGGTCTCCACCATCATCCCCGTCCCCAAAAAACCAAGGATCACAGGACTCAATGACTACAGGCCCGTCGCCCTGACCTCTGTGGTCATGAAGTCTTTTGAACGCCTTGTCCTGTCCCACCTAAAACCCCTCACTGACCCACTCTTGGACCCTCTGCAGTTCGCCTACAGAGCCAACAGGTCTGTAGATGACGCAGTCAACTTGGCCCTTCACTTCATCCTCCAGCATCTGGACTCCCCAGGAACCTAGGCCAGGATCCTGTTTGTGGACTTCAGCTCTGCTTTCAACACTATCATCCCATCTCTGCTGCATGACAACCTCTCCCATCTGCAGGTGCCCGACTCCACCTGCAAGTGGATCACAGACTTCCTGTTTGACAGGAAGCAGCACGTCAAGCTGGGAAAACACGTCTCAGCCTCCCGGACCATCAGCACCGGCTCCCCCAAAGGCTGCGTTCTTTCCCCTCTTCTCTTCTCCCTGTACACCAACAGCTGCACCTCCAGTCACCAGTCTGTCAAGCTCCTGATGTTCACGGATGACACCACCCTCATTGGACTCATCTCTGGTGGGGATGAGTCTGCCTACAGGTGGGAGACTGACCATCTGGTGACCTGGTGCGGTCTGAACAACTTGGAGCTCAACGCTCTAAAGACAGTGGAGATGGTTGTGGATTTCAGGAAGAACGTAGCCCCACCTGCCGCTATCACCCTGTGTGACTCCCCCGTCGACGCTGTGGAGTCCTTCCACTTCCTGGGCTCGACCATATCCCAGAACATCAGCTCCATCACAAAGAAGGCTCAGCAGAGGATGTACTTCCTGAGGCAGCTGAAGAAATTCAACCTGCCAAAGACAATGATGGTGCACTTCTACAGAGCCATCATTGAGTCCATCCTCTGCTCCTCCATCACGGTCTGGTACGCTGCAGCCACAGCCAAGGACAAGGGCAGGCTGCAGCGCATCATTCGCTCTGCTGAGAGGGTGATTGGCTGCAATCTGCCCTCCCTCCAGGACTTGTTCACTTCAAGGACCCTGAAGCGAGCAAGAAAGATTGTAGCCGACCCCTCTCACCCTGGACATGATCTGTTCGTGCCCCTTCCATCTGGCAGGAGGATGCGGTCCATCAGAACCAAGACCTCACGCCACACAAACAGTTTCTTCCCGTACGCAGTCGGGCTCATTAACAAAGCCCGGGTCCCCCATTGACTTTGTCATCCCCAGGACATTTCCTTCTGGTCTCTCCCCTGCACATCCCTGTTTCTTTATTTAAACACACTCATCACTTTTAACATTTCACTTACACTTCACTTGTTTTACAGTCCTGTTATCTGTTTTGTTGTGCACTTTATTTTATATTTTCTTGTAAATTTTAATATGTTTCTATTTCTTGCACTGTGTTGATTGATAGTTTAATGTTATTGTTTATTGTTAAATGTTACGCACCACCCGCCACGACAAATTCCTTGTAGGTGCAAACGTCCTTGGCAATAAACGATTCTGATTCTGAATGTCTGTTGCTCACCTCTGAATTTCCCCATAGCTCATCAGATGTTCCTCTCTCTGAGCCTGCAGGAATCGGTGATGGTGGTAATGAGTTGGGGATGGGCAAACTGAAGGAAAAGGTGAAGACTCTGATGTCCAATGGGAGTCTCATAGCCTGTGATGTTCCTGCTGACTATGCCATCACTGCTGGTATGGACTCGCCATCATTATACTCGTGCAAATTTAACACCGCAGATTATACGGCTGCTGTTGTTATGGGTGCATTACCACAGCACAGATATGCTTTTAATACATGTAATGACTGTAGCATCATTGTTACACTGCTCCTGCAGGTTACATAATATGCACTCTGAAATTCAGGTACACACCAACAGGTCTACATGCAGAATGCATATACAGTATGGCAAACATACACACTGAACACCTGGCCTCTCTGTAACCTCCTTGTATGTGGTCTGAGAAAAAGCCCATGTCAAGTTCCAAAAGTGGTTAGAAAGTTCCACAGGGGAGTAATTATGTTATCTCTACGCTAATCTTTTATTAAATGGAGACGTGAAACCAAAAAGAGGAAATAATCAGGAAATAACACACAACCTTTTTTGGGGCGTAAGTAAGGTCATGTGCTGATTATGAGACATTGGTCCTTGGGCACAGACATACAAAAGGCCCAACCACCTGACCTTCGTGTGAGCAAAACACACAGACTTGCCAGATGTTTAGCCTCTTTTTGTAGTTGTGTTGTGTTTCTTTGCGTAGGCGTTAGGCATCTCTCCATGGTTTTGTCTCTTTGTGGTCATTTTGCATCACTGTGTCGCTTTGGAATTTTTTTAGTCTTTTTGTAGTTATTTTTGTCTCTAGTTTTTCCCATTTTCGTAGGCATTTTGCGTCTCTTTGTATTTGTTTTGTGTCACTTTGTATTTGTTTTGGTGTTTCTTTTTTTTGTCTGACATTGTTTTGCTCCTTTTAGTAGTTTTGCATCTCTATGTAGGTGCTTTGTGTCTCTTTGTAGTCATTTTGTGTCTCTTGTTGTCGGTTTGTGTTACTTTGAAATTGTTTTGGTCTTTTTGTTGTTTTTATATCATTACTCATTGAGAACCACCAATTAGGCTTTGAGAAAGCAATAAAATGCCTTTTCAACTTTAAAAAGTTATCTTTGGAGTTATCCTTCTTTGTTTTGCCAATGTCTGTGGTTTACCTGCCTTCTCCCACTCTCACCAACGTCCTTCCCTCCTGAAGGGGTGTCTAACTGGGGAGGATATGCTGTGGTCTGTGGGCTCTATCTGCTCCACACCTGCCCCTCCCACCAGCGATACAGAAAGAAAGGACTGGGTTTGGAGAATACAATCCCCCAAGAACAGCTCCAGGACTGGACTGCTAACCTGCCATCTGTGGACAAGGTGACACACACACACACACACACACGCGCCTTTCTAAATAATCTCTTGAATAAAATGTCTTTTTGAGATTTCCATCTGCTTTCTCACATCCTCTTAATAATCAATGTTGTCTGTTTTTAAGACGTAAATCATGTGGAAAGCAAAAAATATATCTTCTTGATTTACATAATACTTTTTTAAAGCTGAGAGTACAAAATTAATCTACAGTAACTGAATTCCACAGGAACTATTTCAATTTGATTTACTCTGAAGTAGTAAACTACAAATAATATCTATCATTTATGTGTCTGTTCTCAGTTTGAGAATGAATTATTAAGATGATGAGTTTTACTGAAGCATCACAGAATGTCCCTATTCCACATGGGTTTACAAGACACCACAAATTCATAAAAAACAGATAAATATTACAGTACAACAAAAATATTACAGTACAACAAAAATTACTAAATAAATAAAGGAAATTACACGTTATATAATCATATATAGTTGTTACATACAAATTAAAGGGTAAAGACTAAATGCAGTCCTTTTTATTGCTTTTGAAATTTATTCATTAAACTTAGCTATTAACGGTATTTTTTGGAATAATTTAATATGTTTAATTTAAAAAGTAACGCCCAAAGTGACGAACCCACAAAACATTATCACAACTCTGCAGTTCCCATCAGCTCTACAAAGTCTTAAAGCCTCTTTTACCTTATTTGTGGGGGGGTTCTGGCCTGCATACTCATCAGCCTCATTTCCAGCAGCAGCAGGCAGCTGTTTTGAGTAAAGCCCACCGTACACTACCTGCCCAGCACCAAGCAGTAGACAAACTAACTTAGACTAGCTGGTGTACATAAGCGGCTATTTTCCTCAGAAGTCGGTGGAGAAAAGGAGAGTGAATACCGGACATTTGCCAAAAGGCAAGGGATACAGCTCCAAATGAATGCTAATATAATGCACCGTTTCCACTGGACGTGTAAGCAGGAAACTGTTTGCTTACACATTCGCCATGAATATTGTGTTTCCAATAAAAAACAATTGTACCTATGGTACATCTCTAGGACTGGCTTTTACACACACAAACACGCTCTCTTTCTCCTCCAGGAGGAGTCCATCCTTTCCACTCTGGTGCGTTTTGGGATAAGAAGTGGGAAAACTGGTCATCTGGCCATGGAGGTGGATGGTTTGACCTTTCACCCCACACACTCCGACATCATCACCAGACTCCTGGAAGTCACACTAGGCTGCACCACTCCAAACCTCTAATTAACTTTTCCTGTTTATTCTCAGCACTATTTTTTTTTAAAGGCACAGATCAAAAAGTGAATTATCTGTGTCTGTGATTGAGTATTAACATCACCTTGATACAAGTAGCCATGTACGCTCAGAGACACACCTGAGCACGCATACACACTCATATACAGACGCACAGGCTGTCAATGTGCCAGAGGTGGCATTCTGTTTCCTCTCTATTCAGATTGCCATAAGGAAGTGAGAGAGAAAGGACTGAATGAAAAAGAGAGGTGTGTGTGTGTGTGTGTGTGAGAGAGTGTGTGTGTGTGATTTCGATGCTGCCTTGGTTACCTTTCAGCCCTCTTCCTTGACTACAAAGCAAACTTCTCTCTCCCTCTGTCTGGCTCAGGCATGAAGGAGTGAATCAGAGCTCTGACACTATTCTCATGCTTTCAGAACATTTTTATCAGACATACTTTGTAGGGGTGTAGTTGATTCATTGGCAGTAACTAGACGGTGGTGTGTGAATAACTGCGATGTTATGGATCTTTAGCACAGATTTTCCAACTATTAGATGTTGTGTCACTTAAATGGGCTGTGATTTTTGAGTTTACCTTGTAAAATGCAGCCGTTAGCATGCAGACGGCTAACATACTGCACTTGGCTGCTTTTCAAAGAGTTTCTTTTGTATATAGTCAGGAAACATCTTAAAAATATTCGGCCTTAGCTTAGATGCACTACTGATGTGGAGGTCCTTTCGGATGCAGCGATAGATGAACTGAACACGTCACAGAATGCTGCACAACAAGTTGGATCCAAACATAAACTTCACATGTGACCTTGATCTTCAGATGTAAATATCTGACAGCGGACTATGCCTGCAAACGCAAAAGAGAGAAACACTTCAGATGACTTTGGAAGCACACAAGTGTTTTGTCATGTCCCTGTAACACTGTACCACTATATATTTTGTGTTTTTGGACTAGTTTATGGTACCCGAATACATCCATTTACTGCATTTCAAACAGTAAACACATATTTGCAATTGCATGCTTTTTTAAATTTTAGAAATGTGATTTTATGAAGGCGAAAACTACTCGTCCACTAATTTTATTGTTTTTATTCAAATGGTTTTAAAATGTTAAATCTTATGAGAAATTATTTTAAAACCAGAGACACTGAACAACCCTTGTTTGGCAATGTATCAGTTGTTAAAATCAAACGTTTACTCCCAAACGAAGCGAGTGCAGTATCAGTCACACTCTGATGAATATTAGTAAAAACTGTAATAAACTTCATTCCTACTTAGGGTTACATTGATGATTTTATAAATATTAAATGCCGCTTATTATGCACCTTACCAAGTGATTTACTTCTCAGCAACACTCCAGTGACTGTTTATGTAGTCAGACATTCAATAAGTCTTGAACATTGTTGTACAATATTGCTGTAATTGAAGCTTTGATTTAAATGTTACTACCAGGAAAATTTAAATGTTACGTATTGTAATGTAATTTAAATAATAAAATATGCCACTCATCTGAAGTCTGTCTCATAAATGTTTAGTTTTTATTCTTATTTGCGCTACGGTGATCTGTTGTGCACCTTTATAGCAGTTGAGCAGGTTTTTGCCAAGTAGTACCTTTATTAGTGTATGATCAAGCAGAGGCCCATTTTAATGCACAACTTTTTAGTAGAAATAAACACATTTACAGCCTGCTAAAAGATAACCTTGGTCTCTAAAGCTAATTTCCTCATAGCTCAGGTGTGTTTGTGGTGTAAGTGCCTTTTGAAGGATTCTTCATGCAAATATTGGACCTAAAATGCCTTGCTGTGAGGTAGTTGTACACCGTCCAAGAGGTCTGTGCTCCAGTTCTTTTGGAGAGTGAAATTTAAGTTTTATTTTATTTGTTTGTTAGCACTAATTAGCGGGTATTGGTGTCTGTGCTCACCATACATGGCTTGTTAACTTAGCTCGCTGTACAAAGAGACACTCTCGGAGTCGGCTTTTGTACAGTAAGTACATTACAAACAAGCCTGTTTTAATAGCCAAAATTTGTATCCCAATTAATATCCCAGTTAACGTGAATTACAGATGCACCTTTGTAATAACCAAGCTAGCGTTGGCATGACAAACTAAGTTACCAGCTAATGCTACCTGGCCCCGTCGGTCCTCCCTCTTGTCAAACTCAAGGCTTCAAATAGTCCACTAACCAATAGGTGACATCACAGTCACCTACAGTATATCATCACTACGCCCACTTATAATCAGTCTATGTGTATGATGGAAATGACAATACCTTTGTTTGTCTGATAGGGAACTAGCTTTCTCAACAAGGCAATGATCAATGAAGCGCATCAGTGAACTATGACCACAGGATGTATACAGTTCATATTAAAACAATATCTTAAAAGGTGCAAACTGTTGTCTGCATGCATAACAAAATGGGACTCAATATTGAGCCTTGGGGCACTCCCTTAGTTTTGTTTAGTAACATTGACATAATGCCACTTGTTAAACACTACACATAACTTACATGCTTCTTTCCATTTCTGACTAAGCAAGACATTTCTTTCCTTCATGTCATGGCAGTGCAAGTAGAAGAGTAACTACAAATGCAATAATATTTTTTCAAGAAATTACATTAATTATAGTCAGAATGTGTGTGTGTGTGTGTCACAACCAGAGGGCACAAAGGGTTATCCAGTTTGAAAAAAACTGAACTACCCTGTCCTTCCCAATCAATTCCCCTCGTCATTGTCAACATCCGATCCTTTTCAGGGTTAGCACAAGAACTACATCCGTGCAGTGTGTCTACAGTAATATCCTCATTTTATTTCCACCCTGCCTGGAGGGGCAAATTGATCTCCTGGTCATATATGCTGCAGTTGCTGTTTCATTTCTTGGCTGAAATAGTGTTAATAATTTAGATTGTGGCATGTTCAGATGGATTCAGGTAGAGGGCAAATCGTTGTGGAGAAAGAGAAAAACACATTGGGTAATAAGATGGCATGAACAGAAAGGCAAGACACGTCACTATATCATTTTAATACAGAAAACACTAGAATTTGAATACATAAAGGTATGTTGCTTTCTGTTAAGATAGCTGCTTGTGCTGAACATATTGTTGTCATTGTCAGCCTCACACAAATGTACCATCCTGCTCTTATCTACGTTGGTGGAATGTATCATAACTTTCATTCTAAACTTATTTATTTTAAAATAAATGAGTAAAAAAAATATTGAATTAATAAAAAGCATTCAAAAGGAAGTTTAGAGTAATGTCAAGACTTGTATAACATATTTCTGTGCCTATCACATTCTCTAAATGTAATATTTCTCTTTTTTTTTGTCAGCTGAAAATCCAAACACTTCCTATCATGATGTTGCGCCGCTAGTGTGGAAGTAATCTTTTGTTGAAGAAAACTTCACTCAGTTTCCAAATGTGTGTAGCATTTAGGGGGATCTATTGGCAGAAATGGAATATAATATAAATAAGTATCTAATCGTTGTGTTCCCGTTATATAAGAATGAACAGTTTATATCTACATATGGACCCAGTTCTCTCTACAGAGCTGGGCGCCGTGTTTCTAGCCAAAAAAAGACAAACCAAACACACTGGCTCAAGATGGGGCCATTTGTGTTTTTGTGTCGGCCACATGGTTCTCCTATACACTTGGCACATGGGAGCAGTTTCAGTTGGTTGCAATCTGCAACCTCATTGCTAGATGCTGCCAAATCCTACATTCTGTACCTTTGAGTGGGTGAAGTAGGTGGGGAAGTGAGTGAATGATCTGGCGAGAAAGGCTGTGGATCCAGATGGCATCAGCTCAAGGCTTCTCAAAACCTGTGCAGACCAACCGTGCAGGATTGTTGAGCACATCTTTAACCTGAAGCTGGGGAGAGTGGAAAGCATCCTGCATGGTGTCAGTGCCGAAGACCCCGCACTCGAAGGACGTCAACAGCCAGAGGCCGGTGGCACCTGATGAAGACCCTGGAGAGGCTGGCCCTTGTCCATCTTCACCCCCTTGTGAGTCCAATAAACCTGGAAACTGGGTCGATCATGCTGTCATCTACCTTCAATGCCTTTCTCACCTGGAAAAGGCTTGAAGCCTTCAGGGAAAACAAAAGAGCCGGTGGTGTACTTCCGCAGGTGCAACCACTCTCAGGTGCACCAGTAAACATCCATGGAATGGATATTGAGATGGTGGGATACGTAGGTCTTTTGGAGTGTAGGGAGCTCTCCTGATGACCTTTTTCGACTCTGTGGCGGCATCAGCCATCTTTTTTGGCATGGTCTGCTGGGGCAGCAGTATCTCGACTGCCGACAGGAAGAGACTCACCAGACTAGTGAAGAAGGCCAGCTGTGAACACGTCCCACCCCATGCAGAACACTCTGAAAGCACTGGGCAACTCCTTCAGTGACAGGCTGCTTCAGCCTGAAGGAGGTGTGAAGGAGAGATACCATCTGTGTTCTGACTAAGAGATGCATCTCATACTGAATGTAAATGACTCTGTGCAGTAATTGCAAGAATAACATTTTTTCCAGGTCCAGGTACTAACATTTGTCATTAAAGGAATGTATAATGACGTTTTGTTTAATTCACCTTGTATTTGGGTGGAAGCAGAAATCTCAGAGACAGATTTGTGAAAATAAAACTAACTATCAGCATGGTAGACACCATCACAGCTTATTGAGGTCTCATATTGCAATTTCTGTGTCTCAATGAGAAGAAAACAGCCAATTACAATGTGATTTTAAGTCCTGCTCTATGTTTAATACAAACTGTATCCTGCTCACAGAGTTTGGTAAAGTAGCAAGAAAACAAGCCTTAAATGGATACACTACCAGCCCTCCATTCCTCTACGTTTCTCTTCTCTATAGGTTTCTGACACTTGTGATTTATCCAAAGCAAAGAAAGAGCCACAGAGAGGGAGAAGCAGGAAAGACGCAGATGTAAACAGCTGTGGTTGGTTTCCCAGACGGAGTTTGAAGAGCTGTTTTCTCAAAAACATCCAATTTGTCTCGTGACGTTATTTCTTGACTGTGGGTGTACAACTGCAGTGACGGCAACTAATCAGTTTCCGGTTGGAAGGCTAAATGGCCTTGTGTGTATACTTAGTGATGTGTCAGAGGAACTGTAGTGAAAACAAAGCAGCCATCTTTCAGACATTTCATTCAACCACTGTCTTTACATGCATATTCTTACGCAGGCTCACAGGGGGCTGATTGTACCTGGAGACACTGGGTGATAGATGTCACTTTGTAAAGATCATCTATCCATCACAACACCACGACACAGGCAGTGTGTGCTCCCAGTCTTGCCCTGCACAGTACTCGGTTTTTGCCCAACGGCTGTGGTTTCCACTCCATTTAAATTTAGCCCAAAAAACAGCATGGTCCTCTTCTTCGAATCAACAGCTTACACAAGAAGTTAAATCACGTACCATGTAGAACAATAGCACAGCAAAGGATGACTGACACACATTTTTTTCAGAAGGTTGGATCCTTAAATTATTGTCAAGTTTTACAGACGGAAACCTGGCTTCATGCTTAGTTTACCCCTTTTTTGTAGACTTTGCAGGTCACTGGCAAGGGTGGAGGGCTAGGATCTGTTTAAGTCCACCTTCCACTGTCAGGAGACTTCATCTAAAACGTACTCCAGCTTTGAGTGGTAGCTACTTGAGACAAACTCTCATTGTCCTGTGCCGTGCACCAAAGTTCAATAAGGATTTTATACAGGACTTTGTGGTGGGAATTTTGTTTTATGAACGACTACAGTCCCTTTTTCTAATGTTACAACTTGTAACATTAGAACAAGGGACACACCACCTGCTTGTGATTAACCCAATAACTATGTCACAGTTTTCTACTGTTTTAGAAAAATGATGGCTGTTGTGATCTCGGTGCTGAGCTTGCCGCCCTTTTTGACCGCTATGTGAAAACGTCCTTAAATTGTTGAGCAACAAGATTTCTGCTCTTGGGTTTTTACCCATTTCCTTCGCCCCAGACCATTCTATTTCTCCTCTATATCATAGTTGACCTGGCCTTTTGCTGCACGATTCTGTATGGTTCTTTCCGGAGCCAGTTTAGCCACAGACAGTTTGTCTGCCTTTGATAGAGGATGAGCTTGCAGCCACACCCAAGCTTTTTCTTTAAACTCGAACTCCAGTTTGGTCTTTTCATAATTTCTTTTCTATCTCATCCATGCACAACCCACCCACAAATTCTTGCATTTCTCTATGCTGAGCAATTTTTGGACATGATATAGAGTCCGGTGGGGGCTGTCTTGGCAACAACATAGCTTCTTGCAAAGGTCTGGACAAGTTTAGCTCAGCCAGAGTCACTCCGGTGAACTGGGAAAACTGGAATTCAGGTAAGTGTTTATCCCATTGCTTGTGATTATTTCCCACATCATCGTCATAATTGATTGTGGATGATAGGCTGTGGTCTTTGTGCTTTACGTGCCATTCATTGCAGGTTTCCTTGTAGATGTTTGCAACAAATTGCGGCCTTGGTCTGAGAGGATGTAGTCAGGAACATTGAGTGACTGTGGTACCACCTAGCCATTCCGAAGAATAACTACAGATATTCCTCAACTGCCTTGGTCTTCTCAGGGTCCACTTGAACACCAGCATTAGCATGTGCTCAAGGAACCTGAAAGGTTGCTGGAGCATTTTTGAGACCAAAAGGCTTGACCTTAAATTAGTACAGGCCCATAGCACAGACCAAGGCTGTATTTTCCCTGCTTTCAACATCCATGTCGACCACATGGCTCAACACAGAGAGTCCAGGAATTCTTGTATTGTTGGGAGTGGATATATGCATCATCCACTGTCACAAACTTTAACTTCCTGAAAACAGATCCTTCGAATTTGATAAAATTTGTTGTCAAAACTAGTTTGACTAGTTAGGTTAAAACTCTTAACTGGAACTAAGTTATTCAAGCTTTTATTACCTCTCGGTTAGACAACTATAATTCTTTGTATGTGGGTCGTCTCTTCATCGTCTGCAGTTAGTATGAATTGCACATATTATATTGGCCTCCCACCGGCTTCCTGTCCGTTTCATGATTAACTGAGGATTGACACCAATTCAACTCCAGTTAGCTCATCTCGGGCCGTCAGAGTGTTAAGTGTAGATTTGTGTTATGTACACAACTGCTCTGTAACGATGAGTATTAATGTGATATCTCATTAGAAAGCTACGGTTCTTGTAATTCGATTTATGCAAACCATTTCAAGATACAATAACAGCAGGTACAGTTAAAGTCTCTGTCAAACAAGCACTCCAAAAATAGCCGATAAAATATCGCCGTGACTCACCGATTATGATTCATAACGTCCCCCTTGTGCATGCTAGTCCAGCAAAAACGGTCTTGCTAGGTGGCTAAGGGTCCTCTCGATCGAATCCAGTAAAAGATTTAGTCCAAAACACATTAGTACGTTCATAAAGACCCACGGGGGGCTGTTGCATCATTTAAAATTAGCCAGCAGATATGATATCTCGCGATCATATTTCGGTCATAATTTCACTTTTCATGTCAACAGAGCGGAGATTTTCATCGCAAAATGGAGGCTGCATTCCGCCGGTTAGATTGACACCTCATTTGACCCAATAGGAGCTTCTATAGCCCGGTCACATTCTGGAACAGCCAACGAGAGTCCGCTTTGAAAGACAATGCCCGCCTCTCTTTTTTGGGTAATGCTCGAGCCAATTGGAAACAGATCCTGTTCAAACTCAGGCTCCATATAGCCAATGAAATTACGAAGACAAGGATATGCAGATTTATCAGATGGCCCCCTGGGAAAGTTTTCAAAACTGAAATTGTAAACCGTGACTCAGGTACCTGAGACCGATTATCAAGAGCAAAGTCTGGTTCGTAAGGATTTTCAAGAATCTGTGACAGTTCATAATGGTTAAATATAATATAGTTAACCATACATTGACATAAATAAACTACAGTTCAAATTTCGGACATGTAGTTTATTGTAGTTTCTGCATTTTGACTGGTGACGCAAGCCTCAAAATGCTGCACTCTTAGAAACCATGTGTAAAATATTAATTTTCTGTTGTATTGTTATCAAATTCTAACTTCTACCAGGTGTCATGACTGCATGCTATCGTAGGAGTGTCTTTTCAAGCCTGTAAGTCCCAGCCATAGATAACTGCAGCCATCTGTTGGCCAAAACAAATCCAGGCGTAAATAAAAACCTTCTTTTTCAATGTGTTGTAAACTCCATAGCTCAATGCCAGTAGCACTTACAGTGATTCTGACTGTTTGTGAAGAAACTTCAGAGTGTTACAGTTCAATAGAGACTAAAACCATACATGTACTCCCAATGGTTCAATAAGAGCTGTCAGTTTACTTTGGGTACGTGTTGGATAGGCGTTTTAGGCAAATTTTACAGGAGTGATAAGAGGCTTTAGAGGACTGAGCTTAATCAATCAAATACCCTTGGATGTCCCCAGAACTAAATACAAAAACAGTGGTGGTCGAGCTTTTATGGTGGCCTTGCTTGAACAGCCCACTTGTTTATATAAAAACTTCTCAGACTACAGAAAGCTTTAAGTAACTGCTGAAGACCTATTTTCATTGGTGTTTGATTGGCTTGAGCTATTCAAATTGACTTCATCTTCTGTTGTGCTGCAATTCCTTTACTAGTATTATGTGTACATTATGTTTATTGTTTTCTTCGGTTTTTATTGTTGTTTTCTTCGTGTTCATTTGTTTTGTGGTTGTTTTTAAATGTGCAATATAAAATAAGTTTGACCTGACTTGACTTATTTTATTATTGGAAATCGATTAACAACACAATAGTTAGAAGGCTCACACTAACGCATAGAACTGGAGTTACGTCCAGTAACTACAACTTTCCACTGCTGGTGAAAATAATGTATTGTCACCCCGAGGTAACTGTGATTGTTAAGTGAAGTCTCGGGTGAGTGTATCCGCTGTAGTCTATCCCAACTCCTCCGCTACTTGTGCGGCCTTCGTACAAATTAAGCATCTTCGGTACAGTGATGGCTCTTGAAGGCAATTCATAAGTGTAGAAGTTATATTCAATCCAAATTTCCCGCGGACTGTCGTCTTCCACAATGTTTAATGGCACATCGCAAGCTAGATGATTCAGGCCATCTGGCAGGGCTTTGTAGCTGAACTTGCCATTCAAAATACATTTTTCTTCATCCATTGCTTGCTTGCCATCTGACTTTGGGCAAAGGGATATCACGAGAGAACCTGCGCTATTGAGTCAAAACAATTAGTAGCATTAAAAATGAATTTGCGTGAACATGTTCTTATAACGTCGACTTTGACAGCCTTAGTCATTATCTTATGGTTTCCACAGTGGTGGGCTGTCAGGGCCTGCAAGGCCTTCTCTGCTGGCCTAAACAGAATCACAAAGTTATAGCTATTTTATAATTTAATAATTTTTCTTAAATACACATGTATTAAAATTTATAAAAATATTCTTCCCATTATCTTATGTTCTCACTGCACAGCTACTGTCTTCCTCAGTTGCTCTGCTTCCAGTGCAGCTTGTTTTAAGTAGAGCTTTTATCCAATCAGATTTCACCTCTGTGTCTCTAGGTAAGAAGAGAGACCTGCAGACTCACAAGTGAATCCCTTTGCAGTTTAAGTGAATGGGGACGATATTGTTGATTGTCATATTCTTCAACCAATCAGATGTTTAGTTTGACATGTTGGGCGTATTCTTTGACATGCCAGAGCCTGCTAGCTGGCCTACAAGTACGTGATTGGTCAGTGGGCTGGCCTGACGTGTTGGGCGGTGACAATCCCAATATCTGCTGCCTCTGTCGAGCGGACATTTTAGCCCTCAAACGCATTAAAACGTATTCAAGAAATACAACTGGGGAGGCTCGACTGTCTTCACTGGCGTCCATGAATCGAGAAGGACTTCTTACTGAAACTAAAACGCACGGATGTACTGAACAACCGTGAGATTAAACTCTTTATTAACAAAGAAAGGAGGATGGACTTTGTCTTTAAATAGTGAACAGCAGCTCTGGTAAGTTAAATGCGTTTGTTTTTACATCTGCAGTAGCTTTAATTTGCTTGTTTATATATTATTATTTGTACAACTTGTTTTTATGAAGATTTTTGTTTGGTTTTATATGTGATAGGAACTATTGTTATGTCCAATGTTGCTCTGGGGACATATTTAGCAGGTGCCAGTGTTGGCAAATTCGCGACTTTCTCGCTAAATCTGGTGACTTTCAAAACCCTCATGGCGACATTTCTTTGTCAAAAGCTACTAGTGACAAATCTAGCGACTTGTTCTGGTGTTGTTGGAGAATTTTACGGTGTTTTTACATTAAAGCACGTACGTTCTGCACTGTCGTGAACGAGCAGCGGTGCTGCCGTGAGCCCCTCCGCCGCCGCCCACAGAAGCCTCGCGCTGCAGTCCCAGCTACAGTCAGAGCAGAGAGGAGACGCACTCTCGGCAGATAGTGTATCTATAGGTGTTGGCTTAATTTTTACACGAAACAAATAACCGTAGCTGTGTTTCAGCTGCAGGACAGCAGTGAAGGCCCAGGTATAAAATGCACGGCCCACCACTGGGTTTCCACAATGTCATTGTTAAGCAAAAAAGTTACATGAGCTCGCTTTAATGTTCCATAAAGAGGCTATTGTTCCAACTCACATTCACATGTGTGCTAACTATTATTGAATCATTTTAATTTGCATAAATAGTGTTAAGGACAAAACTATGGTAACGTGAACTCCACACATAGGTCTTAGATTTCCTCTTGGTGATTTCCTTTGTGATGTAATTTCCAAATTTGCAGTTCTTTTTAACCTTAGCCCTATTTTTAGGCCTCTGCTCAAAAATTGCATACCCATAGTAAAAAGAGTGTATTTCTCTAACTACAAGGTCTATTTGAATAATTTTGATGTTATAATAAAGGTAACACTTGTGAGATTTGTTCAGATGTGTAAATATCACTGTATATGTTACTGGTTAAGAGTAAATGAAGATGGCACACAGCTCAAATTGAAAAGTTTCAGGTTCACCTGAAAAAAAATTACTGAAAGCATGATTATCTCTTTTGAATGATGCATCTGAAAGTTTAAACTTCTCCCAAATCATAGCACAACATGTGAACAGTCTTTGTGCAAAGCTTGACTTTGATAAAGTGAAGCAGAACAAAATTAGAGAGGTTTTAGTACAGAGTATGAATATGATTAGGTACAATGTGTTATTTTATATTTTTTATTGTTACCCAGTTCTACTTTGTTTAATTAAAACCCACTGGAGTTTGAAATGCATTACCCCCAGCTTGATGTATTGGCGAGGTCAACCAAATGGTCATTTTGGAACCAGCTGTTCCATTGTAATTTTATATACTATATGACTATATATTTCACTTGTTGTATCACTAATAGTGTTCAATCTATCCAAATACAGCAGTTTGGCTTCATTTTGAGAGCTAGAATCCTCTCTGAGCCTGTTTGTGTCTGTGATCCATGGATCCATTCTCGTCTGACTGCAGTTTCTGTGTCTATGGAGACCTAACTCAGCAGCCCATTGGTCGATTTCCGTCAATGAACCCTCCTTCGACGCGTCAGAGCCTATAGAATTTAGCTGGGACAACGTGATATTGATTGACATAATCGTTAGCCAGTCAGAATCAAAACCGCCGTCCCTCGCGAAGCATAAAATCCGATATGCCGAAAGTCAAATCGTCCCCCCCTTGTACCCTGCCTTATAAAAGCCCCCTGTCATCACGGAAACTGTCACACAGACACACAGGATATACGTAGAACAGTTTTTTTAGCTCCAGAACCGAGAAATTATGCCTTTGTCTTCATGATACAGCGTAAAGTTGAGGCGCATTTATGATTATTAGCGGTAAAGCAGTTTGTGGTTTTGGTGCTTGTTGGCTGTATCTCTGTAATGGTTTCACGGAGAGAAATTCTGAAGATATCTCTGGAATCTGTATCGAATTCTCTTGCTTTCTGATGTATTGGTTGTCCATGTTAGCTTTTAGCTTTGTGTTGGTAGCTTTGTCCGGAGTGCGTAGCTTGTGGACTCATGGCGAAAAATATGTGATCTTGTGGTAAATCTTCTAGTTGAAATATTAGTTGTGTAGAATTGTGTTTGGAGCATGTAAAAATGGCTAACATGATATTGTTGCCAGACTTTTTTCTTTAACTGGGTATATA